TCATTTAATGCCTCCTTTTGCTCCCCCCTCTCTGACCCCAACCTTGAACCCCCTCAAATATATATAACTACAAATGCCCATCGACTCTTTATCGGATGCTGGGCATTATACAAGCTAAGATACCCAGAGGCCAGGAGGCTGCGTTTATCCTTTTTGCAGTCAGTCTGCGGGACCCTGATTGTTGTTGTTATCATCATCATCCTCAGCTTCCTGAAAAATATTGCGGTCAAAGGGGAGCCCAGTTCAGAAGGCTGGCCGCCCCTCGATCTCCAAATTCTCCGCGGCTTCGAAAGGTTTGGAAAAAATCTCCCTTTCTGGGCCCGAAAGAAAGACCCCCTCCAACGCTTCGTCACCGACCCGACCTCAAAGTCCCGAAATGAAACAGGTCTGGCCCGCTTCAGTGCATCTACTACAAGCTCTTTCTCACGGCGCCGGAGGCGATTTGCTGGTTTGACAGCCAACTCCTAGGGCGGAACGAGCGGGAAGCAGCTGTAGGAGAGGCGAGTCCTGAGGTTGCTAGCAGCTGGGAATGGCTCGGCGGGTTTTCCAAGAGGCGGCTGGCCGTTTGCACGTGAAGGCGACTGATTAGCATTTTAATCGGCGAGGGGGAAATGAATTTGCTTCGGGTGGGGCGGGAGGGAGGGAGAAGGCTTGGAACCTGGCATCTGAAAAGTATGATATAAAAGCTGATGAAAGGGGGGGGGAGGACATGTTTGCACAAAATCCTTGTCTAAGAGACGTCTAGTTTGTAGTTTAGAACAGGGATGTCCAACCTTAGCAACTTTAAGCCTGGCGGACTTCAACTCCCAGAATTTCTCAGCTAGCTTTGCTGGCTGGGGAATTCTGGGAGTTGAAGTCCTCCAGGCTGAATACTGGTTCTATCACGTTATGCAGTCTATTTTTCTCCTTCTGCACTGCACTTCTAAAGGCACGGGCCTTTAAACGGGCCTTGGATCTCACTCCTACTGCTTCCATCACTCCATCCAGCCACCTCATTCTCTGTCGTCCCCTTTTTCTTTTGCCCTTCATCTTTCCCAGCATTAGGCTCTTCTCCAGGGAGTCCTTCCTTCTCCTTAGGTGGCCAAAGTATTTGAGTTCCATCTTCAGGATCTGGCCTTCTAAAGAGCAGTCAGGATTGATCTCCTCTAGGACTGACTAGTTTGATGCCTTACAGTCCAAGGGACTCTTCTCCAGCACTATAGTTCAAAGGCCTCCATTCTTTGGTGCTCAGCCTTTCTTATGGTCTAATTTTCACAGCCATACATTGCAATTGGAAAAACCATAGCCTTGACTATATGCACTTTTGTTGGCAGGGTGATGTCTCTGCTTTTTAATGTGCTTTATGTATTTATATAAATATGTATATATTTAGTATGGGGAAGTAAGTAATGGCTATTAATTCCCACAAACCATAGGACCTGTTCATAAAGCCACAAGGGACAAGCAACTTTATTTTTTAAAATAGGCTCAAACTCAAAGAACATCTTTGCCTTGCGGTGTAATCCACATATACACCGGATTAGGCCTGTTTTCCTGCTCAGTTTATGAACTGTGACGCACTGCTTTTCAAAGCTTTTGGTTAATTCTCGAATTTAGGAGCTATAGCAAATACCTTAAAACTGGGTTTCCCCCAACGTGCAAAGCCGTCGAGTGCTTAACTCCAGTTTGTTCACACAAGCCCTAAGCCCAAAGCGAAGCACTCTTGCCCCATCACCTTCCGTGGAGCCACTGATGAGAAATTCGGGGGGCGAACTGCAGCGCATCTATATCTGAGAGATATGCCTCCTTTTGAAAGGATATGAATGGACAGAATTTTTTTCAAGGGGCCCGGGGACCACCACCACCCCGCCCCCAACGATCCTGACACGGCTTAAAGAAAGCAGTTAGTGAAAGGGGGACCCTGGCAGGGAACAGACGCACCCTATTGACAAGAATGGGCCGGGGCGGCCACCCATGGAGAGCAATCGTTTGCTCGCTCGCCCTCACTGAAGTTCTCGCCTCGGCAATCGTGGCAATCGCTGAGAAAGTGACACGAAGAACTTAAAGGACTTAAAGAAGGAGCCCAAAGGCGCCCATTAAAGAGTTTCGGCCTATTTCGTTAACCTTCGTATTGCAGACCGCGACTCTTCGTCGTTATCAGGCTTGGTAGCGATCCTGAGAAACGCGCGCTGATTTTTATTAATAATACTAGTTAGTCAAGTTGAACCATCTTTTTTTTTAATTGACATGTTTAAGTCCTGCTTGCCAGTGAATTAATTCTGGCTTCTCGCGGTATATTGTAACCGAACCAGTGGGCTTCAAACATGAAACCACCAAACTACTAGCCAACATTAAAAGTATCCGCGCTCGACAGGTCGTTTGAATGCTGCCGCTTCGTGTTTGGCTGACCGGTGAACGGCACGAGGACTGGGATGTACCATCGTTCTCCTCGCCATCCTAAGAAAATCCTCCTCAAAGGGACAAGCTTTTGGATTTAAAAAAGAGCTAATGTTTAAGAAGCAATACCAATCAAATATTTCGAGCTGCGTTCACACGTGCATTTTTGTTAGTTACACCTGAGTCTGAACGCGTGTAAGGACAGCGGGTAAAGTTCTCGCTTGGCCCCGGGGATGGGAGCGCGGCACTTTTCCGTGGGGACCGAAAAGGG